GGCAATCCTCCTGCCTCAGGCCTCCTGAGTGCTGGGATTACAGGCATGCTCAACTGCGCCCCGATCAATTAAATGGCACTTATTTAAGAACTAGCATTTTAATCAATATGGTATAATGGTTAGAATCCCATCTGAATCTTCATGAAACAACACAAGTTACAACTATATTATTAAAATAGCCTTAACTGTCCACATCTGCTGCAAACCTAGATCAAACTTTTTCACCCCATGGACTCTGATGCCATATCCTAGCCTAATGCTTCACTCATTAATGATGAAATCAGCTTTCAATCTCCATCTGTAACTGTAAATAATGGCTTTGATGTGAAGCAATGAACTGTGAATATGGGAAGCCATTGTTTTATTGCTTAGTCACATTCTTCTAATATCCTGGTCTCACCACAAGTGGCTAATCTATTGAATCTTTTGCTTATTTTCTCATTTTCCCCAAGAATTCTTTCTCTGAGGAGTTCTGGCACATGACAAAAAGGACCAATAGAATGTATCTCATGACCCTGTCCCTGATCTAATGATTTTTCTTATCACTTTCTTACCACTGTCTCTCCTCATGACTGTTTCCTTATTTAACTATGTCTCCACAACTGGTAAAGACACCCTTACTATTTCTTACCTTGCAATAAAATATTACTGAGTTGCACCAAGTAAGCCCAAGTCCCCTAAAATCTCCTTTAAAGACAGCAATCATTGGCCTGTCTTTCACTACTATCCCTGTTCATGTGCACATGTGGAACAGAGACTATTTTAGTTCACGAGTTGGGTAATGTATGAAAATCTCTTCCCGGTGTCAGTAACAGAGGTATTCTAGTACATTAAAATAAGCTCACCCTGGAACTTTTCATTGCATTTATGGCTAGGATGGAATGTGGATAAAAATTTGGAACAATGAGTACAATATTAACAACATTAATGGTTAATGGTTACATTATGGTTATAATACTAACATTACTGTACTTACTGAATCACCTAATTTTGAAAACTATTCCTATTTTATATAGTTTGCTTAATATTAAACATTTATTGAGTGCCTACCATTTTTCAAGCATGCAAGGTACAAAAGTAAGAAGCAGGGTATCATTCACACTTGAGGTACCCACATCCTAGTCAGAAGAATGCTATGTGAAAAACCAACAGCAAAGGCACATCTGCTGAGCACTCCGTGCTGCAGAAACTGGAAAATGGCGGCAGAGTGTGTCAGCCAAAGGGAAATCATCTGAAAATGATCACACGAAACATTCTAATTTTAATAGCTGATAGACTCCCTACGTAAACATATACAGTATTATTCTTGGACGGTATTACTATTACTACACACAAATAAAACTATTAAAACCTATGATCATTCTGTATTAGATGTCATTACTTCATTCACATTTAATATTTTTTGTTGTTGTTGTTGTTTTGTTTTGTTGGGGACCAGGGATCGAACTTGGGACCTTGCGCTTGCAAGGCAGGCACCGGAACCACTGAGCTAAATCCTTGGACCCACGTTTAATATTTAAAGAGCGTATTCACAAATAGGGACCTATTTAAAGACTTCTTTTTTGGCCAAAGAAAACTTGTTTTAAATACTGAATCCTTATTCTTTACTGCCCTGTAATGGCAGAGCAGATAAACCACTGATAGGATCCAACCCAAACCTTTTTCCTGAATTCACATGTTGCAGGGCTCCTACGGCAGGTAGCCAGGTAAGTGGCAGTGCTGGGAAAGTGGTTCCTCTAGACGATTTCGAATGTGCATTTTAAAATGACTCTATCATCTAACTTTTTTTTTTCTTTTTTTTTTTGGTACCGGGCATCAAACTCAGGTCCTTGCACTTGTGAGGCAGGTGGCAGCGGAACCACTGAGCTAAATCTCCAGCCCAAAAAATGACTCCATTATCGAGGCACATGATTTACACGCTCCAGGCCAACCTAACACATTGTCATCAACAGCATTTGGACTGGGGTTGATTTCTATCATCAAATCTCTACAGCATCAAAGTCCAAATGGTTTCATCTGACTCTTGTCTTCAGCACTTACAATCGCTGAGCTATCAAGTAAGTTTAGATAAACTGCTGTCTCTACATAGTCTTCTTCACAATTAAGAGTGTAAATAACTAAAATGTATAACAAGAGGTGCAGGCATCTCAATACACTGACAGCAAAGAAACACACCAGATGCCTGGCTCTGCCACACATTCTCTGTTTGGCCTTTGATGAGCCACTGAAACTCTATCTGCTATGTGACAAAATGCATGGACTATGTCTGTTCTGTGTATTTTGAGGGAAGAAAACATAAATAAACAGATCTGATCTACATACTTTCTAGGTTTCATTACACTTAAACATTATGAAAGATTCTGAAAAAAATGTCATTTGGAAATTTTCTCCACCCATCATCCAGGCTGTGAAATTCAAATCCCAGGGTCAAATCATTTCCAAACATCTGGAAAACTTAATCCACTTTCAGTGTAAGATACCGAGGCAATGAACAATTAAGCTATTATTAGTTGAATCATGTATTCTCCACTGCTACTTGCTGGGCCCTCTTGTTTTAGTGACACAACTATGCCTTGTAACCACATCTTGGCTTATAAATAATACAGGAATTGGAGATGCTCATTAAGTTTTAGAACCCTAGGGTATAGTGTATTATTTCAGATAAATCTACTACAGCACTTTCAGCAGGATATGTGTTCCTGAGCATATAAATAAGGAATACCTAGAAGAGTAAGACATCATTCTTCAAAATACTCCTTATTCAAGAACTATAGATATACACTGAAACAAAACTGCCCTTCACACTTAGAATACAAAACTTTCAATGCTAATACTATACTTACTTGTGACACCATACTGGATCTAACATAGACACACGTGCCATATGTATGTCTAGGTGAGTAACTCAACTAAGAGGCACAAAGTAATTGTGGCAAATAAAAAGCACACTATCAACAGAATCACTGTAGAAAGCCCAAAGAGGAAAAAAGAATAGGAAATCCCACAAAACAGGTCAAGTCAGTAACAAAAGCGAAATTTGGGCAAATCAAAAACCATTTTGAAGCTGAGTACGGTGCCACAAGCCTGTAATCCCAGCAATCAGGAGGTTGAGGCAGGAGGATCACTAGTTTGATGCCAGAATGGACTACACAGTGAGACACTATCCCCAAAAAACAAAACAAAACAATTAAATTGAGTAATTCTTTGTATGAGGGTCCAAAGAAACATTCCCAACATGTTTTTAAAGTAAAACAAGACAGGAAAACTAGACAGGACATCAGTGGGCAGAGGATCCATGGGAGAAAAGGTGATCTTGGCTAGCAGGGAAAAATTTTTTTTCACATCCTGTTCATTTTAATAAAGAATAAAGTATAAAAAAACACAATGAAACATTATTCTACATGCATAGTATGCTGTTCAAATTGTTGCAACTCAACTGTGCAGGAACTGAAGGAAACACTCCCTTTTATGATGATTTCTTCTGACTGTGGTTGAAGAAAGCACCAAAACAACCACTGGAAAGGGCTGGCGGGGCCTTGGAGTTTGCTGAGTAAAGATAAAGACTTGGAGGGAACATGGTGATGTGTGTAACATTATAAATAACCTCATCAAGGTAAAGACAGACTTGTTTACCAAATCCTTTAGAAGGTGCTTTGGCTAAAATCTGATGTTAGCTGCCCTTCGGAAGGAGAGTAACGCAACATAGGTGACTGTGGCAGAGAATATTTAAGCATTCCAACAGGACTTGGATAAATTCCTGAGTGGCAGAGATAAACTGAGGTTAATCCATGTCCTCTACAGCTATCATAGAACACAGCTGTGGCCCTGCTTCAATTTAAAATGCTAGCGCTCCACAGGACAGGAGTCTGGCCATGTCTATGTTTCCACATTACCTGAATTATAACAAGCTGTTCTGTCATAAGTACAACTGATGGTTGTATTAGAAGAAGTGTACAGGTCAGATATCACAAGCACCCAATTACCCAACTGGAAAATTCTGCCAATGGATGGTCCTTATCTGACACCTATAGGAGAAAATCTGGATTTACACTTCACCCACCAAGGCCGTGATAGTCTTGTTTATATGTAATACCCAGATGTAAGAGTAGAAATAGTTTTAATAAAGAAAATGTTGGAAGAAGCCCTAAGCTTCCTGGTTAACAGCATCAAAGGCTGAATCAGCCTGAGGTTGGAAAAGCCACTACACATTAGCTACGTGTACACCTTCTGCTAGTTTAGGATACCCAATTAAAACCTAGCTAGGATGGAGAACAGAAGAGCAGGGGGTTCACTGATAGTTCTACAGCAAAAACAACTCAGAACTGACAGTGAACAGACAGATTTTCTTTTTGGGGACTGGGGATTGGACTCACTCTTGCGTTTGCGAGGAGGCAGAGGAACCACCAGATTTTCTTGAAGTCATTGATTGCACTAGGTCATGATTTCTTATAAACAGTAACATTTGCACACCAATATAAATTAGCTGGATTCCTATTTAAATGGAAGTTACTTATTACATTTCCATTCTAAGACATAAACTTTCTAATGGTTTAGACATCCCTCAGAAGAACTTTTCTTTACTCAACGTATATATTTATTTGAATTTATCCAACAGAGAAACCTGTGATGGTGCTATTTGGGGAGAGCACAGAGAACTCTCTGTGTTTAATTAAAAGCCAGAACAATTATACTCATTAAAATTAACTATCTAACGATATTCTCCTCACATACTACAGTTATTAATCAAAAATGCAATCCTATCCAGTCTATCGCCCATTTGGCAGCATAGCCTCCTAGTGTGACAGAAACTCTCATTCAAGACAAGGGTATGTTCTAGGAAGTGTAAGATCCCCCAAACAAAGGGACCTTGGAAGTCTCTGTGCCCTACCTGCTTCTTAAAAGTAGCCTTAGTTACGGAACAATAACCAATCCTATTTCCAAAAACCAAAAATGACCTTCATATTTTTTAAAAAATGACCCAAGAGTTCAGTAAACCTTACTTCTGGCAATGGACTGGCTGGTTTGGTCAGGATCCCTCCAACATAAACGACATTAGGCAGAGTGGGTCTTGGAAACTCGAGTGCCACATCAGTGCACAGCATCCACAGGCTGGAGCCATGGACCAGGTCATACATGGACTTCTCTGGCACCAGGTTGTACTTCTGCATTATTCTTTCATATCTGGGAAGAACCAGAAAGCTGACTCCTATTCTAGAAATAAGGTAAACGCCGGTATTTTTCATCCTTTGCAGCAAGTTCATGTGGTCTGTGAGGAGTGAATTAAACTCTGGCACGTAGGCTAATGGAGCAGGAGCCCCTGCTTCAGCAGGATACCAAAGGCCAGTTGAAAATACAGCATATTTAACCCCTAGGAGATGAGCTATCACAAATCCACACATGTCATTTGGGTCCACCAGCAGCAGGTCAAACTTCTCTTTTTTCAGATTCTGGATTAGGGGCTGGTTGCCAACAATCATGTCACAGTTCTTAGTGTAATGATCTAGTATGTCAAATAGTTCGATTGCTGTCAACCTCCCAGAGAATATATTCCGCATTTTGGACTGCATGAAAGCATCTGAGGTGGTGCTGTTGAAAATCCCTGGGTAGCGCTGGAGGCTGTAATGATTAGATGGGGCGATGTCTCTGCCTTCTGAGAAGAGGAACACTGTGTGGTGGCCTCTCTCGTGCAATGCTGTGGCCAGCGTCTTGAAAATGTACATATGGCTTTCAAACATAATTGGCGGCACGATGATGATTTTGGCAGCCCTCGCTATTCCAACAGCACTCCACAGGAGCATGAAATACAGAGTGTAAGACTTCATAGCTGTAATGACAACCAGAAAATGACTTAAAAACAGAATAGGAGTTTGACCATTCAAAACAACCCCAAGCCTTTATTGTGAAAAATACCTGATGATCCAATGCTTTCAGAAATTATTCTAACATGCATTCTAATTAAACCTTTATTTTTGAAAATTAAAATACTTAAATACAGAATAAGAAGCAAAGTTAACATATAATGAAATATATTAAAAATAGATCATGTGGGAGCATAATTGCATTGATTTTAAGATGTGAAATAAAATTTCTATAAGGTTGAATGATACAAGAAATTTCTTCTTTCAGCAGTATCTATGAAACATTTCTTTATCTCCTAATTGAACATCGATGTTCATGTCAAGAAGAACCACTGTTTTGGATTTCCAGTTATATCAACACACATCTCTTACTTAAATCGTTTTATTTCAGCAATTACATTCCCAAACATCACCAAAGCATACCAAAGAGAGCATGCTTTAGAAAATAATTCATTTATGTAGTAGTTCAATAATTCCACAGAAATGACTATTTCTATTTCCCTCATAGAAAAAATGACCTTTAGTATGTATTTCCTCTTTACTAAATAAATACCACCAGTATTCTGGCAGGCTGTATTTATCCAATTTATACCAATCTGCTGATAAATATCAGGGCATATTTCAGAGAGAAACCTTTAATAGAAGCTCAAGAACTGCATATTGAAGAAGGGACTGATGAATGAGTATGTCCAGGACCACATTTCCCACACTAGACCTTTACTTCTGGTGCCAATGGCAAGTCAGATGATGCCGGTACACCAGATAGCTGGCATCTCTCCTACCTTTTCATGTGAATCTATTGCATGTAAAGTAGTTTCCATTGTACTTTCAGAAATAAGCATACTAGGTGTTGGGGCCAGAACACAACATCCCCTAACCCACTCAGCATAATTAATACTAGTATTCTAAAACCACAAATAGCAACAGAGAAAAGGTCTATTATAATTGCACTAGGCACTTTCACTTCAATGAACAATGCAAACTAGATTTATACATACATCACCAACATGACACATGGTTTTACTCATACCATGCATTAATACTTCATTGTAATTCCCACCATCTAAATAAAATTTCTCTACATTCAAATGCTGTAAGCAACCTAAAATCAAAAAACCAACAGCAGGCAAATGTTGGATTCTTCCAATATCAAGACTAAAATAATTATATTTCCAGAAGCTTTTAACTAACTCTCTTCTGCTCTCAGGAGAAATGAAAGTAATACACATTATAAACATATAATGTTAAATGTTTCTTGAATTATTATAGGGGCTTTAAGAATAAATAAATCTGGAGAAAGTACTGTTTCTATAGGAAGGTTTACAATTTCAAGGTCAATGAAGGAAGAGAATTAGCCAATCTTGGAATATGAGTTTTCCAGACATTTCCAATACTGCCTCACCAATGTGTCTCTTTGATGTAGTCTTTTTCCAGTTCTGAGGAAGAAGTAAAAAAATCAAGATTTTACTTAAATTTACTAAATTTTTTTTTTTTAATTCACTAAATT